AACACTAATACTACACAACAATAACGCTAAACAACACTAACACTAAACAACAATAACATGAATCAACAATTATACTAAACAACACTAATAACTAAGCAAACTACGTATTTTTTGTTGTCTGAATGGGATGCAGATACTTTTGGCAGAATGGCAGCATGAACTAAAAATAAAGCTCCAGACAAACCAGGAAGAAGCTGCTGTTCCTCTTGTTCCTGAAGTCCTGTAACCAGCAGCTGGTTCACTCTGTGTGTGAGCAGATCCCTCATGTTCGTTGGGAGGATGTTGGAGGCCTGCAGCACGTGAAGAAAGATATCCTGGACACAGTTCAGCTTCCTCTGCAACGCCCAGAACTCCTGTCTCTGGGTCTGAACCGGACCGGAGTCCTGCTGTACGGACCCCCAGGAACAGGAAAGACTCTGCTGGCCAAAGCTGTGGCCACTGAGTGCTCCATGACCTTCCTCAGGTGGGTTTACTTCACTGTGCAGCCGGAAGGTCAGTGTTATACTATCTGGACCCACCAGTACACAACAGTTCGTGCAGAACCCTAGGACCCAGCAGTGTGCATGCACAGAATACGTAGATAGGACCTACAGCGTATGTGTACGAGGGAGTCTTCCCAGGAGGGTTTATGATCAGCAGTGTGGATGGAGGAGAGAAGTGTCACCAGCATCTTCTAGTCTTCTGAATGTTAGGTAGTTGGTGAACCGCTGTAGCTGGAAACCACAGTTCACAACAACACTCTGAGTCGGGGTTAGGGGAGTGCTGAACACACAACAGGTTCATATCAAGTCACTGCCTGAAACAATGCAGCTTGCAAATTAAAAGGCTGCAATTTAGGATGTAGTTCATGCAGCCTGTCTGGTCTGGTCTTTATAGTCGTACACAGATTTAGGTACTACAGCTCATCTACAATACTTCACATGTGTACTATCTGGAAAAATGTTCTGGGTTTCTGACAGCTGGTGGCATAAAGCTGTTGGTCAGTCTGAAGGTTCTTCCTCTAACGCTCCAGAAACGTTTTCCTGATGGCAGCAGTTCAGACAGTTGATGGAGAGGCTGTGAGGAGTCCCTGACCATGTTCAGGGTCCTGCTCCTGCAGCAGCTCTGGAGAAGCTCTTGGACAGAGGAGACCCTCTCAGCTCCTCTAACTGTCCTCTGCAGGGCTTTGTGTCTGACACACTGCAGCTGGAGGACCATGTGGAGATGCAGGATGTCAGGACGCTCTCCTTCCTGTGTCATAGAGGTGTTCCTGGATGTTCTCTGCATAGGTGCGTTTCACAGCCTTGATCCCTTTTGAGAGCTCAGATGTGGCTGAGTGAAGAGCAGTCCTGTCTCCCACCCTGAAGGCTGCATCACGGCCGTCAGCAGCACCTCTGCAGTCTTCCAGGGTTTCTGGTTTCCATGTGCTGTGAAGGTCTTAATGACAGTGACGTCCTAGCTGGTTACCGCCTCAGCATTCTCCTCAACGTCAGTCTGACCACCCTGAGAGGCTGCTGCTCTGAAAACCTCCTAGTCGGTGTCCATAGAACCGTCCTGGAGTGCTGAAGATGCCGCCTCTGGCCAGAGCCTGCTTGTTTCCTCTCTGGCCTGCTGCGCTTCAGTCGGGTTTGTAAGCAGCACCAGCATGACAGGAAGTCTGTAAGGAAGTACCATAATACATACGTTTGTAAAATATATAAACATTATGATAAAAATATGCTTCAGAAGCAATTTAAAAGGAGATACTGATCACAAATTGTAGAGTTGAGGTGCAAGAACAGCTGTATGAGCATCTCGTGTCCTTGTGTTCCACCTGATGGAGGTTCAGTCAAAGTGGATGGAGACACAGACAATAAAGGCTCTCTCCCTCTAGGCTCTAACCCTAACCCAGCGGTCAGCTCTGGACAGACAGCTGGCTACGGGTCACCAGAGCACATTCACATCTTCACCAGTGTTGATGCAGGAGCTCTTTGGCTGCTGTTACATACTGTAGCTGCCAGCAGAGGGCAGTACAGAGCACAGCTTCAGGATTCAGCAGCTTGGTTTTAATGAACTGCTGGCTGTAGTGAGATGTGAGGAGCTCAAGTGTTTCCCGTCTGTCTGTTACAGCGTTAAAGGTCCGGAGCTCATCAACATGTACGTCGGTCAGAGCGAAGAGAACATCAGAGAAGGTTGGTGTGACTTGTCTTCTGGTTTTGGTTCTGGTTGTGTTCTGGTTGTGTTACGCTTCCTTTCTTTAGTTTCAAGGTCGGACTTGAGACTCCTCATGAAGTGACTGTGAAGTGAATAAAAATAAATAAATAACCCCTGACCCTGACCCCTAAAGCTTAAATGTAAATGTCTCACCAGCATCTGTAATGCAGCAGGAACACATCAGCTACTCTCTAACTCCAGAACCTGACTGTATATCTGATGTGGTTGTGGTTGTGTTCAGTGTTCTCCAGAGCGCGCTCAGCAGCTCCCTGTGTCGTCTTCTTTGATGAGCTGGACTCTCTGGCTCCCAGCAGGGGGCGCAGCGGAGACTCTGGAGGGGTGATGGATCGGTGAGTGTTCACCTGCACCAGATACACATCAGTCAGACTGGATGAACCAGGAGCTGTCTGGATGCTCCTTATAATGCTGTAAACCGTGGAAGCCTCAACTCTGTCTGATGCTAAGACCTCAGCTGGTATTACACAGTAGTATTATATAGTTTAATGCAGTAGTATTATACAGTATTAGACAGTACTATTACCTGTATGTCTGGTCCTTTGAGCGTTTTGCTGTGACCACTCTCTGACTCTGGCTCTGGCTCCAGACCCTCCCCGAACCCTCCACAGAGTTCAGCTGCAGCAGCATCAGTAACGTTTCACTCAATCTCTGTCCAGGGTTGTGTCTCAGCTGCTGGCTGAGCTCGATGCGCTGCACTCGTCTGTCGGAGTTTTTGTGATTGGAGCCACAAACCGCCCAGACCTGCTGGACCAGTCCCTGCTGAGGCCCGGCAGGTCAGACCCCAGACATCCACAGAACATCCACTGACTGACATACACTCTTAGAGACTTACCTGAACTGAAGACCTCAGATGTAATGGTCCACCTTCTATGGATCTCTCTGTCTCTCTTACACACACACACACACACACACACACACACACACACACACACACACTTAATGTGTGTTTTCTGCTGCTGCAGGGTAACATGATGATGTATCTTTAAACAGCTGACTTTCTCCTCAGGTTTGATAAGCTGGTCTATGTTGGGATCAACGAGGACCGGGTCTCCCAGCTGGAGGTTCTGCAGGCCGTTCTGAGAAGGTAAGACCCGCCCACCCTGCTGAAGTTAGTGTGCACTGAGCTCACAGAGACTCTCTGCAGCCAAACTGGATCACACACACTTTGGACCATTCTGACCAGGATCCGGATTTAGAACCAGTCACATGTGGACAGAAGCGTTCCTGTAGTGAAGGGTTCTGGTTCGGGCAATAATGAGTCCTAATTAGCAGTTTTGCTCCATCGTGACACAGTTTGTAGGTGTGAACGTGACGAGGAATCAGATTTAAACTAAAATGCACGTGTTTCTTTGAACTTGTGAGCAAAAGACAGAAGATCCAGGGGACTCCATAGGACCTGAGCTTCCTGTCCGTCTTTGTCTGAGATTAATTGTAAAGTTAATTGTGAAGGTTCAGCTTGGACCCGGCCGTGAGCCTACAGGAGGTGGTGGATCGCTGCCCTGCTCAGATGACCGGTGCAGATCTCTACGCGCTCTGTTCAGACGCCATGACGGCTGCCATCAAGCGAAAGATCTCCCACATCAACGGCGGTAAGAAATCAATAGAAATCAATAGAAATGAAGCCAACATCTTGTTTTTGATTAGCACATTTTGTCTTTAACCAACTCTGAGCGTCAGTGTTATGGGATACGGCAGCGTGCTAACGTTCTGTCAATGTGAACAATCCAGTAGGTAGAAGATGACATGATCCCCAAAAGACATGAAGTTACACGTGAAACACTCTCTTCAATATTTGAATCAGTATCAGTGCACTAGTTTGTTTTGTCAAGCAGCACCCACAACAGACGGGAACCCCACGAGACTGGAGTCTCAGATGTCTTTGAGCAGGTGTCAGACTTTAATGAGCCTGACAGGGTCATGGCTTGTTCACAGCCGTCGGTAGGAAAGACCAGGAGATGCCAGTTTCAAAGCTTTATGAACACCCAGACTCCTCTAACCTGTCCCAACAATCAGCAGCCATGGCTTCCTCTAAGCAGCTGCCTACAACTCTGACACTGGAAATGAGTGACGCCCACAAAGCAGGAGGAGGCTCCACAAAGATCGCAGCGCGTTTTCAGGCACCGATTCCCTCAGTCGGGAATGTGATTAAGAAATGGCAGCTGACAGGAACAGTGGAGGTCCAGACCAGGTCTGGCAGACCAAGGAGAATATCAGAGAGAACCGCTGGTAGGCCCGCTAGAAAAGCAAGTCAGAACCCCCGTTTGACTGCAAGAGAGCTCCAGGAAGATGTGGCAGACTCTGGACCTGTGGTTCAGTGTTCAATTTTTTGAAATCCTGTTTTCGTGGGTTTTATGAGCTGGAAGCCCAAATTGTGTAAAAATTAACAAATAAATACTTGAAATCGTTTAAATTGTGGACCCTGAATCTATAATCTATGAAAGTTTAACTTTTTGAATGGAATTATGGAAATTAAACAACTTTTCCATGATATTCAGATTTTTTGGAAAGGGTCTGTATATGTGTATGTATATAAACTCTAAGAAAAAAAATCTTCTAAAATAACAACTCATGGAAGATCTGGATAGCTTGGACTGTTGTGAGGACAACCAGATACGTATGACTGGCTCTGATAGTGACCATGATGAGAGTCTATATGTAGAGCATCATCAGGTTCAGGTGGCTGCTTCTGTCCTCAGTGACAAGATTTGAAATCAAATCTAAACCCAGGTCTGAGAAGAGGTTACTGTTTAGGGTTCGGGTTTTGATGAGCAGCTTCTCATTTCTCTCTCTCTCCACCCAAACCTGTTCCTCTCAGGTCTGGATTCAGAGGACTCTCCGGTCCTCCTCTCCGTCCAGGATTTCTGGACCGCGCTGGACAACTTCAAGCCGTCTGTGTCTGAGCAGGAACTGCAGCGATACAGAAACATCCAACAGGCTCTCACTGCAAAGTAGAAACCGAAGCAGCTGTTCATCAGCACAAGGTGGCGTCTGCTCCCTCCAACAGCTGCCCACATGTTTCCAGAGGAAGACTCACATCAACATCTATGTAAATAAATAAAGTGCTGACAAAACATATCTACTCTGAACTACCACAAAGCGATCAAATGTAAATGATGTAAAAACACGTGACTTTATAAAGCTAATGAATAGATACAGACATGAGAGCCGGTGTGTGATTCAGTCTTTGTGCTGCCACTACAACAGCTGCCTCCTACTGACGGACGGTCAGTACCGTCCTGTACACCGGCCCGACACCTGCTGCAGTCACGGCCACAACATAGCCGGCAGCATATGAAGTCATTTAAAGCAGCCCCACCTTCATCATTATGTGCAGCCTAATTACTGTCAAATTACAGACATCATTCTGACCCAATCAGTACTTTCACTTTGGTACTTTAAGTGTACTTTGATCTGAGTGTGTGCAGAAACCACACAAGAGCTTCTGAAGAAGAACAAATTGGGAACGATCACCTCCTGAATAATGTCTCCTGACTTAAGTAGACCAACTAAACAGGAGTCAGTCATTCAAAACGTGAAAACTTCAATCTCAATACTGAAAGCAGCTCTCTGGTTTCTCACCCTGTGTATGTTTATTATAGTAAATCTGAACTGTTAACTGGGCTGCAGGTGTCTCAGTGGT